CATGGAGTGAACTCCTCAAGGACAGGAACAAGGGGTTGCTGTGCAGTTCCAGGCCCAGCCTGGTGTTGGACACCTAATAGGTGTTCATTATAAATTGAAAGCAAAAATCAGTTTTTTTAAGGAGACTGGGATTTAATCAAATTCTCTCAGGCTGAGGAAATCTGTTGTTTCAGACTTAACTTTCTTTGCTTAGTAAACAATACCTCACCCGGGAACAGTCTTCAGGAGGTTGCAAAGCCCTCCGTGTTTTGCTTAACTTATCTGAAAAATGAAAATAGGAAGTCAATGATATTGCCCAAGGTTTAGAGATAAGGCGGGAAGGCTCCCAGGCAGACATGGAGCCAGAAACTGTGGAAAATGCCCCAGCACATGCCCGGGTTCTACCTGGCCACCCTCCAGGGAGTCCCCAGAGGAAGAGATCACAAACCCCTGCACTTGGTGTTTGAAAATACTGTGGGATGTTCCCACTCGTGGGTTTCACTGCGTGTTCTCTGGTGACTATTTCAGCAAGCCGAGAATGGACTCCTGTTATGGGAACACAAAGCCCGTAAGGTACGGCAGCGCTGCTCCATGCAATCCCTGGCTGTTTACTAGTAGCCAGGGGCATGGATCTCTTTTCCCCGGGATTGTCCGCTCAAAAAATGACCACAGCCAACACAATAGCCATCCGGTGTGACTGAATTCAAGTTATACCTTTTTTTTTTTTTTTTTTCAAATTGGAAAAAAAAAAATACATTTTCGGTGTGCTGGAGAATTTTGGTAATTAGATTCTGTGTGCCATGGGATGAAAGAGGTTGAAAATCGCTGCGACAAGGGAACAGCAATAACGCTGGCACTTTTATCTAATTATCAGCAAGTCCAATTATCAGCAAGTTCTCTTCCAGGACATTTCATACCTTTTAAAAAAATGTATAGTCTGCTTGGCAAGTATTTCTCCTTTAGTGAAAACAATTGGTCTTAGCAGCAAAAGATGCTGACAGTCACTGCAGATGGGTGCCTAGTGGCTCCTGCTGGGCTGATAAGAGTCCATTTCCAGGAAGATGTAACCTTGACTTCTTATAAAACATCGATCACCTCAGATAATGGTGACAATCTAGGTAAGTATGCTCCAAGTTTTCACTTCCATGCCTTATATTTATATCTCACATCAGGCAGCAGGCAGTTTTAAACTACTTAATCTTTCTGTAAGCTTTTAAATGGGAAAGCTAAAGTACAGAGAAGAATGTTGTCTTAGATCATTCTGCACACCAAAATGCATACTTCTTAAAATAAAATATTATTTTCTTGTGTGAAGGACAAACCCCAGGAGGCAGAAATGCAGTTATGACAGGGAAATTTCCTCAGCCACCCCTGCAGGCAGAGGGGCCTTGTGCATTGGCTGGCTCATCTCATGAAGACCCGCTGGAAATCCGGTGGACACAGAGCGCTGTTCGCTGTGCCTGCAGAACCTTTTCCAAAGCACAGATGTTTTTCTCTTAACTGTGATCGCTGGCTGGCTCGTACGTATCCTTTTTCAGTGCTCAGCCGACGGGTCGATCCGGAGTGACTTGTCCGCTGTAATTAGGGACCCATGCTCACTGCTGGATGGAAAACACATCTTTGGCTAGACAGATATAAATCAATATTACGGGAAAATGTTTCCATTTTGGGAAATTCCCCAAAATGAAAGTCTCTCTGGCTCTGGGCCTATATAACTAGCCATGAGGACACCTCAATAAAAGAGAAAATGGATTTTCAATAGTTTTGCCATACCAGTGATATGTGATTATAAGCTCCCTAAGACTTTCCTGTTTCACTTTAGAAACAAAAAGTTGACCCCTTTTTTTCTTTTTCTTTTTTTCTGGTTAGTGCCTCAGTGTTTTCTTTTCTTTTCTTCCTTCCTTTCTTCCTTCCTTCCTTCCTTCCTTCCTTCCTTCCTTCCTTCCTTCCTTTTCTTCTTTAATATATTTTATTGATTTTTTACAGAGAGGAAGGGAGAGAGATAGAGAGCCAGAAACGTCGATGAGAGAGAAACATCAACCAGCTGCCTCCTGCACACCACCCACTGGGGTTGTGCCCGCAACCAATGTACATGCCCTTGACCGGAATCGAACCTGGGACCTTTCAGTCCGCAGACCAACGCTCTACCGCTGAGCCAAACCGGTTTCGGCAGTGCCTCAGTGTTTTCATTAGGTGTTTCTAAAAGACTTCATCTGAATCACAGTAAGAAAATTATTTCAGTGCTAGAATAAATTTTACCTATCATAAACAGCACTGAGCATTAAAACCTGCTTTCAGCTTAACAAATTACACGGAAGCTTTATGCTCAGGAATACAATATATCAAGTAAAGCAGTAATTTTTCAAACACTGAAAGATTCAACTAATTTAGATAATACAAGTTTGGAAATGCAAGATTGGCTAAAAAATATTATAAATCCTATTAACTTGCTAACTAAATTTGTTTCATTAGAAACTTTCATTAGAATATTTTAATTTCCTAGCAATTAAATAGCATTTAATTTTTTTACAACAAATATTTCATCATATGGATAGACACATTCATCTTTTATTTATTATCTGTCAAGATTAATATGCTAAGTTATAACTTAGTTTAATGTGCTCTCATCAAATACCTTGAGGATAAATTTTCAGTAAAAATTTAATTGACTTGAAATGTAGACCCAAAAAATGCTTGCGGAGGAAAAAAAATCCATCATTAAGTTTAAGCTTAATGTATTTGTAAGTATTTATTTATATGGTGGGAGAAAAACTTACCAGATAATTATGAGATACTGCCATATATTGTAATACATTATTTCTGTATTAAATCTCCTGATATTTGCTTTTTTTAAAATTAATTTTGAGTTGTAAATGAAAGGTTTACTATTATAATCAGAAAAAACACAGGTTATCTTTAAACTTACTTGTTCAGATATTTCTAAATTGGAAACCTGGAAATTCATGAAGTTGCAAATTGGCATTATACCTTTTCTGGGGACAACATGGTTTGTGTGCACACAGAGCACTGTGTTCTGGAGCTTGGTTACACTGACCTCAGGTGTCAATGCTCAAAGTCATCGTTAATTGTGAGCACCTTGAGATTAAGTTCCAGAAGGGACAGAAATCTGAGCCATGAGGTGCCCCCAAGTGAGGAGCCATGTTGAAAACTTCATAAAACATCTTTGTATAAATTACATCCAGACCTGAGAATAGGGCAGCCCTGTGGAATTTAAATATCATCTGAAATGTCATTATGTGAAAAACTACTTTAGAAGTTCGCTGCCCACTCTTCTCTGAACCAATGGTGTTTCTAGAATTGCCTTTATCTATTCTATCTTTAAAGGAAAATACAGTTTTATTGATATTGTGGTTTTGACACTTAATAGCTATGTGACCTTCAGCAAATTCCTTAACTTCTCTTGCTGTAAAACAGTGAAGGTTGTGGCAGGAATTAAATGAGTTAATGTCAATTATTAAAACTAGTATAATCCCTGACTGGCATGGCTCAGTAGTTGAACATTGACTTATGAACCAGAAGGTCTTGTTTTCATTCCTGGTCAGGGCTCGATCCCCATTGGGAGGCATGCAAGAGGCAGCCAATAACTGATTCTTTCTCATCATTGATGTTTCTCTCTCTCTGAAATCTATAAAAATATATTTTAAAAAATATTATTATCACACATCTACTAGATTAACTCATAATTTTGCAGAGAAGCCATTAGCACTAAAATTTAAAAAGCAATTACAACACAATTCATAAGTTTTTTCCAAAATATGAAAAGACTCAATCTTTGAAAAACTTTCAGAAGACCCCCAAAATGACTATTGCTTGGCTCAGAATTATCTATCCTAAGTACATTTGGATTCTTTCTAGCTTTAACCAACCCACTCCACCCTCCTCCCCACCCCACAATTAAATTCATGCACAAAAAGAGTCCTGTTGCATCAAAGATGAACTTGCTGATTAAGATTTTGTGACCGATCCTTAGGGCATGACTCCCAGGCACAGGGTTGTTAAGGAGATAAGTTTCTTCCAGAGATGAAGCTGAGAGATAACAGTTTTCCTTACTCATGACCTTCCTTCCATGTGAGATTAGGAGTCCCTCTACACCTCCTCCATGTAAATTTCACTGCTAGCCTGCAGGCACAACTCTAGGATAGGATGTGTCCAGACTGATCTAAATGTATCCCTAAGCTCTCTCTCTCTCTGGTGGTCCTGTCCGTATCTAGCGATGAGCAAGAAGCACACACCATCTGACTGAACACTCCATTTTCCCACTTGCTGACGGAGGTCTTAGAGAACAGATGCACCAATCAGGAGCTCCCACACATCACACTCAGCTTTCTCATGTGAGGGAAGAAGAGCTGGGCAAGGAAGGCTGCCGAATTAAATTTATGAGCTACTCTACAGAATTTGAAGCTAGAGGGGTCATTTCGGCAGTCACTACGCTATTTCTATAACATATAGGGATCACCTACTAGCACTAGGAAGTAAGGATAGTAATCTTATTATTTATTTATTATCTGTCAATAATCATTTTTTTAAGGATAGTAATTTAAGTTCAAATCTTTATGTCAGGATTTATTATCAAACAGGGAGATACTCTTTGCCTCTGCTGCTTGTTTTAGACAAGCACATGAGGGTCCCAGGGAAACTGACTACCTTCTCTAGGTGGTAGTGGGTTAAAGCAGATCCCAATCTCTGGAAGTGTTAGTCGTAGGCCCTTTCCTGGAGAGCCATATTTGAATGTCACTATTCTAGGAGGCAGTCAAATTCAAGGCAGGAGTACACTAAATCAGAGACATGATGACAATGCAAATGTTTAGTGCTGGCGGCTGTCTGCTATTTCCCAGGTGATACTGTTGGCCCACAGGTTTCCTTCCCTTTTTACAAAATAAGCAAATGTTGACTTTGTCATTCACCCCTATAAAACATATAGAAACAACATACAAACTGCTCAAAATGCAAATACTCTAGTTTACTCATCACCATAGCAAATAAAAAAAATAGCAAAAACCTTTTCAGTTAAATAAAAAAGTGGCATTCTTTATTTATCTACCAAGCCTTACTAAACATTGAAATGCATTCATTTTCATTCTCATGGTCTGTAGTAACATCCTCTCTTCCCTTTTGCCTCTCATTCCCCTAAATTATTTTGATGGGCTCATCTCTAAAAGAAAGATTGTTTTGATTTTCTTAATACCATGTACTTTTCATTGCCCTAATATCAAGAACAATCTAGATTTTTCTTTGTCTCTTACATTTGAAATGAATATTAAAAATGGAGATGCCATCAGCACATTTTCAAGGTAACATGGAAGTTAAGCCCTCAACAAGCTTTTCAAGGCAACGTTCTGGGAAATTATCACGTTTGGGGAAGTGTCACGGTTGGTATTAAAAAGCAGGACTCACCTACAGAAGCATATCTGATATTAAACATTATTAATAACCTCGAATACAGTTGTTTTCTACAATAGAGAAGCAGTTTTCTATTTCTCTGAGGGTTCCAATTTGACTACCTTAATTCTTTAATGTCTTAATAAAGACAATTCTTGAATGTCAATGACAAAAATATTTAGCAAAAGAATCATCAACAAAGGTAGAGTTGAAAATGGAATGGTTTCAAATGGAGGAATGAAAGCAAGGGAAATTTTTTGGCTTTTAAAAAGAGGTATATGTACATAGTAAGGAATACAAGTGAATCAAAACATAACTCTGTACATGTTAGAAATAGCCAATGTGCTGCCAACACAACAACCGTCCTAAAAAAAGATGTCTCAAGATTCGGAGCCATGCATATTTTTCTCTGTGTAACTCGATATTTGCGTTTGCATAACACATCTTTCCCAGGTTCTGTTAACCCTTAGAAGCATTTAACAACATTTGGCAATATGTTTTTTCTTCAACTAAAACAAGCTTCACAAAACACTATCATCAACGTTTGACACTTGGCTTGGGCAAAGTCTTCCTGAAATATGTTAACTCTTCAAAAGGCACCTCTTTCCTTCATAAATCAATAGGGCTCCACCTTCAGGTAAATCAGGAGCAGTCACCATCTTAATTCACATGCTCATATGTTCTCTTCATCCAACATTTTGTTGACGCCATCACAAAGTTTTTTTAAGTGGGGTTTGAAATTCCCAAAGGGATTATACAAGGCAGCCAGGAAATCACAATCTGAGAAGTGATCAAAGACATTATTAATCCGTCCGTGTGACTTGGCGGTGAGGTGGCGCTGAATGATCTGGTGCAGCAACTCCCTGCATTCGTTCAGCAGCCTGGACAGCACGTTCCGGTCAAAGGTGTAGTCCACCTGATGGAAACTGACCACGGTCATGGCAAGCTGATGGACTTTCTTCTTGAACTTCTCCATCAGCGCGAGCTCATCCTGATTGAACTGGTTATTCCTGTACAGAATGGCCAGCTTGAGGACGGTTTTGATGAGGTTTTTGATGATCTTCTCGGCCTCCTTCTTGTTCTGGGTGTACTCCCTGGTCACCCGGTACAGCTCATCCAGCACTTCGCTGCTCGTGTCATCGATTAAGGTGGTAGCGATGGACTTGGATACCATTTTACCCAAGATCTTCTTTTGTGCCTGAACGGCCAGGTTTTTGGAATTAAAGACATCTGTGGCCACTAAAAACAAAGAGTGGGGAATAACACATCAGTGTCAGTGACAGAGCAAATGAAAAACAGATACTGTGGTGCATTTTCCATCTCATTTTTCCCACTATATGTACGATATGCCTCCCATCTATTCATATTAGTTTCTGTTTAGAAAAGAGCTAAAAGAAATTCCCTACATTTCTGGGCATTATGTTCCAATCTGTTGTGCATAATATTTAAAGTCTTTGGCAATTCAAGTATTTTTTTTTAATATTGATTTTTAGAGGGAGAGGAAGGGAAAGGGAGAGAGAGAGAAACATCAATGTGACAGGGTAACATCAATCAGCTGCTTCCTACAGGCCCCACCTGGGATAGAGCCTGCAACCTGGACAGGTGCCCTAATGGGGACTGGAATCACCAATCTTTTGGTGCATGGGAAGACACCCAACCAACTGGGCCACACTGGCCAGGGTGGCAATTCCAGTATTTTATATCTTCTGCTATGTCGTTAATACTTTGCTTAGAAGTTAAAGGGTTCAACTTTCTTAAAGATAACATTTTCTAATTATAAAAAGAGTGTGTCTCAGGAGGGAGTAAGGTTTTATGCAATTTTTCTCTAGCTTAATTTGATAAGAAAGACATCAAAAATATAAAATCAACTCCACAAATGTCCTCTGGGAAACAGCAAAAAATAATTTAAAGAAACTAATTTAAATGTAAGAGGGACAGATAACAAAGCTATGATATTGAGTAAAATGGCAAAATCATGGAAACAAATCCAAAGGAGAGCCCAGCTTTACAATCTACTTGTAAAAAGTCAAATTTCCCACAACACTGGTCAATACCTACCAGTTTGGCCAACCTAACCACCCTGAATTTCAACTCCCAGAAGCTGAGTATTGGAAAAAAAAATTCATTGAAGAGCTTATAATCACTTGCTATTTTTGATGAACGACCACTGCTCCCTTTACATGTTTTCAGAAAATAACCATACTATATAAGCCAATAATATGTGCTACATGAACAATTTACTCTGAAAAAAACTGAGGCTTAGAGTTTGCCTCTCAAATTATCATAACTTAATTTGAGCTTTAAGGTGCATATTAAATAATTGGATGTGTTAAATATTAATGAGACACTAGTGATGTTCCTTGCTTACAGCCAATCAGTGAATGTTTACAGCCAATGCTCAATAAATGTCTATTTCAAACCAAGTTCAGTTTTTCTCCAATTCCCATCCTCGCACCCCACTCTGTGCATGCAGCTCTACTACAGCTGTGCCTTCTCCCTCTGCCTTGGTCCTCAGAGCTCCTTGGTCCTCAGAGCTGTAGAGCCCAGTGTCTCTGCTCTACCTTTGGTTCAGGAGCAGCTGTTCCCTCCACATATGCCCGTGTACAGGTCTAGGTCTGGGTGTAGGAAAGCACTCATCCAGTAATGAAAGATAAAAGGCTTAAAAAGACAGATTATGAAGAATGAGTCAGGGCATCAATGATATACAAATATTTCTAGTTTGGACAGGCCAGCAACATTAGAAAACTGCTGCTTGTGAATCCAGGCTGGGAGCACGTATCAGGAATGACTTCCTCAATGTGGAACTGCCATGTTGGATTTGAAATTTGAGCCAAAGTAGCTTATGGTATATAGTATAGGCGGATGCAAAGTGGCTCCCTGCGACCAGAACATTATTCCTAAATATGCAGGGCCATACACTGTGAAAGAGCAGCTTGACTGGATTAGAGCTAGTATCCTCAAACAAATGTTAATATTAGAACTTCTGAAAACTGAACTGAAACTGCAGAAGAAGAAATGAAACATGTTTTTGAGAAAGAAAAGGAAAGTGAAAAAGCATGAGAAACAGGCAACTTTGCGAAGGTTTCCAAGCTTTTTAATGCTTTCATCATTTAAGCAAGTAGTCCATTTCTATCCCTATGTTTCGATGGTTTGGTAAAAGAGCATATGGGTTAACTCACACCTAAGACCTGATAACTAAGGAAATGGAAATGGAATCAGCAGTCTTTCAGTGCTCGGGATGACACCCAACCAACTGAGCCATGCTGGCCAGGGCAGCAATTCAAGTATTTTATACCTTCAGCTATGTCGTCAATACTTTGCTTAGAAGTTAATATTACCATCTTAAGACCAGGGACTGTTTTCCATTATTGAACTTATGATATGGACCTCAACAAGTAAATAAACCTGATTTATACAGAAAGGAATAGCCCCAATTTTTCAAATACACAGTAAGTAAATTAGGATTTGAGGTATTTATCCTGTCTAATAAAATAGTAATATTCAAATTGACCAACATTCCAAGACACAAGATGGCTGCCCTTATGTGGACATAAGATGGCCTGCAGGGGAGAGCAGTTGTGGGCAGTTAGGGGTGACCAGGCCAGCAGAGAAGGGCAGTTGGGGGTGACCAGGCTGGCAAGGGAGGGCAGTTGGGAGGGGGGGTACCCAGGACTATAGGGGAGAGCAGTTAAGGGGGATCAGGCCTACAGAGGAGAGCAGTTGGGTGGGGCAGGCCTGCAGTGGAGGACAGTTGGGTGGGGCCAGGCCTGCAGGGGAGGGCAGTTGGGGGCAATCAGACCAGCAGGAAAGGCAGTTAGGGACAATTGGGAAAGCACGAAGTAGTTAGACTGGCAGGGGAGTGGTTAGGGGGTGATCAGGCTGGCAGGCAGAAATAGTTAGGGGCAATCAGGCAAAGGCAGGTGAGCGGTTGGGAGCCAGCATTCCAGGATCAGGTCTAAACGGGCAGTTGGACATTCCTCAAGGAGTCCCAGATTGGAGAGGGTGCAGGCTGGGCTGAGGGACAACCCCCCTCCCCTGCCACCATGCACGAATTTCGTGCACTGGGCCTCTAGTTCTATATACAGTTGAAAGGTTATTCTGCTTTTAACCTATTCAAACACAACACAGTCGCAAACATCCCATCTGGGACTCACTGTAATGCCTATGAGATGGAGTACCGTCATACACGGTGAAATAACTGAGGCTGCAGAGTTTGGCCCTGGATTCCTCTGTGCTCCTCTTTCCAAGGCTGGAGTGCTAGTCTGCCCCTCATCAAATCTAAATTTCCCATCGAGTTTCAAACACAGAGACCAAGCAGAAACTCTGTGGTGCAGCACTTTCACTTCCCACAAGAGAAAGCATAAAAGGCAAGGCTCCTGCCCATTAAGCAAGATAGGTCCTCACTTACTGGTAACCACGTCTGAACCAGGTCGGAAAAGTTGATCTCTGAGGCTCTCACGCTCATCTCAGGAACTTCAAACCCTGCTCTAGAAACACGGCAGTAGCTTCGCACTCGGTTTTGTTCTGCAGTCACCGTTCAGAACGAGAACGAGGCTCTTTCTCCCCCTTTGCAGGGAAGACGCGCCTGTAGCTCATTTATTTTCTCCCGTGAGTGGAGTCTTCTTTGGAGCGAACTGGGGGTTGCGGCTGGGAGTTCTTGGCCAGGATTGTGTGGTCTGTGATCATGAAATGTGATTTTCTTTTCCTAGAAAATTAACCGCCTTTCCTGCTCAGGCTCATCTGTCAGTTCTACATCCTCTACCAGGTCCTGTGGAGGCCTGGTGTATCTCAGGGCTAGTCCTGGACGGTTTTTCTGCTTCGCTCTTCCCTCAGTCCTGTGTGACCTCATCCACTCCCGTGGCTTCAGATGCTCCCATGTGCCAATGACACCCACAGTCATAGCTCAGCTCTGACCTCTTTTCCCAATTCATCTTGCAAATGCATTGAAGGTTTTTCTTTCCCTTGGCTATTTGTCAGGTATCTCAAATGTACCATGTCCCAAACCGAATCCTTGGTTTCCTCCTGCCTCCAAAGCACTCTTCCACTCTGTTACCATCCTAATTAATAGCATCCCTTCCATCCATTTGCTCAAGTTAGAGTCCTGGGAGTCACCCAGCATACATCCTTTCCCTTACCCAGCCCATTATCAAGTTCTTTCTATGCTACCTGCCTCGATTCTCTAAATTCTATCCATTTCCCACCATCTCCACACAGATTAGTCTAGTTTATGCCCCTTTCCAATCTCTTCCCACAAAGTAGCCAGGGTTTTTTTTTTTTTTTTTTTAAATGTAAATTCGAAAATGATGCTTCCCTTAAATTATTTGCTAACCATCATACCTTCTTGTTCCTGAAATTTTCATTTGCCTACATTTAAAAAAATATATATATTTTATTGATTTTTCACAGAGAGGAAGGGAGAGAGATAGAGAGCTAGAAACGTCGATGAGAGAGAAACATCGACCAGCTGCCTCTTGCACACCTCCTACTGGGGATGTGCCCACAACCCAGGTACATGCCCTTGACCGGAATCGAACCTGGTACCTTTCAGTCCGCAGACCGACGCTCTACCACTGAGCCAAACCGGTTTCGGCATCATTTACCTACATTTTTAATGTCTGCCTCTCCTTACCAGAATGTAAGTATTTTTTAAAATCCTCACCCAGGGATATTTTTCCATTGATTTTTAGAGAGAGTGGAAGGGGAAAAAATCAACATGAGAGATACATATCATCAACTGGTTGCCTCTTGCTGGGAGTCGCAGATCGAACCCACACCTGAGATATGTGCCCTTGACCCGGAAGCCCATGGTTCTTTGGTCTGTGGGCCAACACTCTAACCACTGAGCAAAACTGGCCAGGGCAGAATCTAAGCTTTTTGTGTCTTGCTCACTGTGTCCTCCGGGGGCCTAAAGGGTGCCTGGTACATGGCACTTCTGAAAGAAGCAGAACCCATTTCTTCCCTCTTCACTAAACTTAAATACTTCTCCATGAAAACATGCTGAGCTGCAAAATTAGAGTTTTAAATATGTAAGTGGGAGTTTTTGTTTGTTTGCTTTAAAGGGCAATGAAACATATTTGTTCTATCTAGCTAACAATGTGGTTTCCTTCCTCTTGAGAGCACTCAGAGGGTGGTTTCTCTCATAGTCATCCATGTGCTCTCTTCAAGAGGGAAGATTTGTGATGCACCATGAGAAAACAGCAGAGGACAACAATTCAAATACTCAGGGGTTCTGAAGGAGA